CACCCCATGTTTATTACTCTCCTTTTTGTTATTTCAAAATTCATTCCCTTTGTTTTGCTAAATGGCAGCATGAGTAAGGGCAGCACACACTTTACAATGCAATCTAAGTCTATAAATAATATGAGATTTAAAAGAAATAGTAACAAAGTATGTGAATTTAACATGTTCCTCGATTGTATAATAACCTGATGAAACCGTAGCAGTAGAGAATGTCAGTTTAATACTGGGAGAACCTTTAGAGCTCCAAATCTGACATCTATAATCATTGTCAGTCATAAAAATATAGCAGATTTGGTTAAATTTAGTTCAGCCATTCAAACAGAATAAAGGTTGTCACCTGCCCTCCTTTGTGATTTGATTACCTAGGACTCAGTTTTCCTCAAAGGGGTAGTCAGAAGAATGATAATAAATACTGAAGGGAAAGTTTTATTCAAGGAGAATACTTCTCTTTGCACATCCTTAAATGTGTTAATTTTTCTTATGTTGTGTTAACATCCTGTGCTATCATTTCCTAAATAGTGTGGTTTACTTGAAGATTTCACCTAGAAGTACAGTACAACAATCTATCCTCATGTAAAACAGGGATCGTGACACATGACATGTCAAAGGAACTACAGTGTTTTATGATTAATCTCTGTGAAGTATATTAAAACACTTGGATGAGGTACTTGGAATGTGTACAGCATTATACAATTCTTCTGATTTTAAGAGAATTCCATGGAGGCATTGATCTAGTCCTTCAGACTTGAAAGAAGAAAGTCCTGGGCTCCTTGCAAAGGTCATCCATTCCATACTTCATGCTCTATATCCTTAAATTATACACACTGGGAATTTATTTGCAAATACTCTGAAATCTATAGACTAAATCTGCTCCACAAGGAGTTCAGGGCATTAGTAAAATACATATGCCAGTCTAATCAACAGATCTAATCAAACTGAACTGCATAAAAACATGGGATAGATACTTTCATGCCATGGAAATGTACATATTCAAAATATGTTACATTTGAATATATAACTATTAATTTAAGAAATGTGGAATGTAAAAAGGGAGCTGAGTTACACAACACCAGTATGATTTAGAGATCATAGGCAGTATATAACACCCATCACTGCATTTTATTCTGAGACCTGGATCTTATTCTTTAGTTAGCCAGCCAAATATAAATCCTATTCTGGTATCATTTATATAGTATGAGACCATAACCAATTAAGATATAGTCCCATTTATTGAAATTTTATTGTAGCCAGTATGGAATAATTAGGTTAAGTTTCCAGAATGTGAAAGCGTGAGTCACTGTGATACAGATTAGAATTTGATATGCCATAATATCAGAAAGTAGATTATATGTAATGATGTGAATAAATAGCTAATATGCTAATGTAACAAAAGAAGTGAGCTTGTGATTTTCAGCCCAAAAAAATATTTTATTGCATAGGGAAAAACTTAATTTCCTACAGTTAGGAACATCAGAGAATTTGAAAGAGAGGCTTCTCAAGAAAAGCACAATAATCCACAGAGGTTTCTGAACAAACAAACAAATTATACCAGTAATTTTCTCCTATATCAATAATCCTGAAGCACTGTTTATTGGGACATAATATGACTCTTTAAGAAGAGCAGAACTGTAAGTAGATCTTGCTATACAAATGCTTATATAGTGCTATGGGGAGAAATATCTGCTTCTTATACTAAAGGGTTAAGAAAGACAGTCACTTATGATTACTTTTCTTCTTAGAATATTGTGTTCTGGAGAAGTCTCATTCTTTTGCATTGGGAGTTGAGAATATAACATGTTAGGCTATACTGTCCGCCTGACACTTAGCTCTAGATCTTCCCTCCTCTGAGAGGTTAACAACTTTAACTTAAGACATGTTAAAAAAACACAGCATTTCACAGTAGGTAAATAAACGTGAATATGACTGTTTTCAAGACAACTTCTCTGCCTCCATCAGAAGCATCCTTCTCAGAGGAGATCCTGTCCAGGCTCTCATGCTGCCCAAGGGATTAACCTCTGATTTTCTTTCATTGGTGTCAAACTGCCATGAGCTTAATCATATGATGATTATTTCTCTCAATCTCCATCCTATGTTCATGGTATGTTAGGTTCAGACCCAGTAAGCATGGAGTCAAAGCTATCCCTAAGCAAACAGAAAACTCTTCAATTTCGCAATCAAGTTAAACAATTACTACTGAGCTATGCGAATATCGTGACTCTAAAAAATGATGACAATGTGATTAGAATGAGAATGTGATCTGCATGGAAATGTTCCTGAATGAACTATAAAATAATGCCTGTGCTTATATCTACTGTTCCTATATACTGTGTCAGAAGAGTTCATTTATTAATTCATACAAACAAAAGAAGCTAGACCAGTGAATGCTTTCCATTCTGAACAACCTAGTGTTTTCAGCTATAGAGTCTGTGAATGGTAAGAAGGTCTCACACACTGGGCTAAAATAAAGAATTCTCCCTTAATTTGCTCACATTATAGGGTGTGTGTGTTAAGACTTTTCCTCCTCATCTCAGAATTCTATCAGGAAGCTTTTAGTGGTCCCTTTTCTGCTTAAATATTGCTTCTCTGGTAATTTCAAGGCAGTACTAGCATATGAATTATCTAATGTCTTCAAAAGATGACTTAGTTTTGCAAAAGAACAGGTTTATTTTAATGTATAGAAGAAATTCCTTTCCCAGTGCATGCTTATACAATCAGACAATAAATACTCTATGCCTTATCATAGTGTACAAAAAAAGAATAAGAGGAAAAGTTTGAGATTTCTTATTCAACATTACCTGAGGAAAGGAGTAGTGGTGTCTTGTTCTGACTACTTGTGTATATATGAGAATATACTCTTTGCTTTCAAAAATTGTTTAACTATTTCTAACACTTAGTCTTTGTTTTTAAAAATGTGTCCCTGCCATTGCTACCTTGTTTCCCTTTAATATTTTAAATCTAAAATGTCTTATTTGAGGTAAGTTACAGCATGCAGAACAATGGTTTGGATTTTTTTTTCCCTCATTCTTGCTGTATTTTCCAAGTAGGTTAAAAGACCTGAAAATAAATATTCAGGCCGATACTTAATTATTAAAATGAAAGGTCCATTTATGTTTCTGAGAAGTTGAAATATCAATTAAATAATAGTTCCCATTGTGACCCTCTTTCCCTGAATACTTTTAAAGTTGTTTTAAAAATGGGTGATTTATTACAGTGAATTGTTACAACATTACTTTTTGGACCTTAAGTGAATTCATAGTGCTTGTTGAGAATATCTGCCTAGCACAGTAGGTAACAACTGTTATGTAACGTTTGTGGTTTGTGGGTGCAAAAGATTAGAAAAAATACTTTTAGGGTCAGAACTGGAGGGGGGGAAGCTAATCCTTTCCTCAGTGAAATCTCGTACAAACCTTTGCGAAAATAAGAAAGGTGCGCACAAGTAAATGGAAGCAGAGACTAAGCTGGAGTCAGACAAATATGAATTATAGATGAGGCGACATGTATTAAATATAAAGTTGAAACTAGCAAAAAGGGCAAGAGGAAAGAGATTTTTCTACACCCAAAGAAAGCTGGCTAGGACGCTCTTCGGAATCCCTGAAGGCAAGTTAGATGCACAATGTGACTACAGTACCATTTCCTGCAGCAGATTCTCTTTCTGAGGTCGAGGTTCTAAGACTTGCATTTGCAGTGGAAACCAGACGGAGATAGAGTCAGGCTAAGTCCCCGCTACCGCCAGCTGCCTCTTGCTCCCGGGGATGGGAGACTTCTCAATGAAAAACAAGACACACGTTGACTAGATTAGGTTTTTGCTACCTTTTCCCTCTCTTATTCTTCCAGGCGGTTCCCGGGAGCCCCGTGGATAGTACCGCAACTGACTAAGGCAGTAGTAGTAGGTCATATGTCTCGAGATTCAAAACCTCAATTGCCCCGGATTTCTCCTACTCATCTCGAACCTCCTCCCATCCCAGTCTACATGCGTGCCTGCAAACACCTTAAGTCCCCAGACTGTCATCTTGACAAATGTATGTGCTTTGCATATCTTCACTCATGTTGCATGTTCTCCCCCACACCCACACCCCCTCCCCTTAAAGACAAAGAATTCTTGCGAATTTCTCCTGCCCCAGGCTCCTCCATCCCCTTCCAAGTCGGTGGGGGTGACCTGGCACGCTTGCCCCTCCATTTAAGACGAGCAAGTGCAAAATAGGCCCAGGCAGACATGCCCCCTTTACTCTAATCCTTTCCAAGAAGCTGCTCCCCCGTAGCCCGTTGAACTATGGGGCGTGGGACTGGGGGTTCCTCCGGAACACGTCCCTGAGTCGGAGTAGCGCGTACTCCCAGCGCCCGGCTCCCTACGCTACCCCTCTCACTCTCAGCATTATCCAAAAATGGTGCTGCTGCTGCTGCCGCTGCCGCCGCCGCCACCGCCGCCGCCTCCGCCGCCACCGCCGCCAGCCACCGCCTGCAGCCCTCCCCAGCCTTCCCAGCCTACAGGCCATTAGCCATTCTGTACACTACGGACTCAGCATCTACCCCTCCACTCTTCCCCAACCCTCACTTAAGACTTCACTGACCTAGGTCCCTGCCTGCTAGGCTGGGGCAAAAGCTTCTGACTTGCTACTCAAATCTGCGGAGCATGCCCAGTGCTTTCCCCTAGAAGCCTTGGTTAGTTTTTTTTTTTTTTCCCCTCCTTTCTCAGTGCGTATGTTCCATCTTTCCGGGTTTTAGCGGCTGCCAATAGGGAGAAATTGGGAGGGGGGAGGCAAAGAGACAAGTCACAGTCCTTATTCAGCGGCCCCCTCCCTCTCTGCCTAGCTGCGGCCGCCCGCACTGCAAGGCACAGGCCAATCAGGTGCAAAAGAGGTGGGGCCTCGCGTTGCTCACACCCTCCCTCTGGGCTTATTGAGAGTTATATCAAGAAATTCAGTTCAGAGTGAGAGAGAGAGAGAGACAGAGAGAGAGTCAGAGAGAGGTGAGAAAGAGACTGAAAGGAGGGAAAGAAAAGGAAAGAGAGAGAAAAGACGCAAGAAGAGAGGTAAAGCTTTAGCATCCTTTTAGTACAAAAACCTTTAATGCAATAGGATTTTCCTTTTGGGCAACTGCCACCCCAAAGAGGAAAGAGAGAATCACCGTCGTTCCAACTCTGACGTTTTCAACTAGAAGTTACAGACTTAAGCCAGTGTTAATACACGGATGGTAATGGTATGCAGTCCACCGTAGAAAATATCCTTGGGCTGAAGAAGTGCAACTGGATGTTGTGTGTGTGTTCAATACAAGAAGCTCCTATATCCTGTGGGTAACAGAGGCAAAATGTGGAGAGAATGACTGACGATAAATCTGTGAATTTGTTCTCCGGAGTTGCTAATTTGCCAGCCCGAAGCAACACATTTCTCAAGAAGGAAACGTTTTGCTGCTTGTGAATTCTCCCCAAACTGGTGCTACCAGATGCATTGTGTCGGAACAAATCATTGCGAACTGCAGCATGTCGAGAAAGGTAGAGAGAGATAACTAACGTAAGTGTAAAGTTTCACATGCACGATTTTAAAATTTGCTTTTAAATGTGTGTATGTATCCGTGTCTTCAGTGTAGAACAGGAATGTTTGAGATTCTGGAAATGGTTGTGAGAGAGCTCACCTACTCGGCTTTATCTGCATCCGTACCTGCATCACTCTGCTGGAACTAATCACGGGCATCAGCTACCGTGCAGCTTAATGCAGATAAGATTAGTGCTTAGGAACTGACCAGTTCTACTAAAGTATCTAGCTGCCGGGAGGCTTGCACCCATTTAATTTGCAGTTAGGCGAGCATCTAAGCGAAAGGCTTTTTACCTGCATTATTAGTCTGCAGTATTTGTGTGGCAGCTGTTAGTAATATCCGAGGAGAGACAAATGGTAAAAAACTATAGCTTTTTTTTTTCCTTTTCTTTTTTTTCCCCTTAATCCTCATTAGAAAGATTTTGCGCCTTTTCATGGGTATGATATCTGCGGTTAACTTGAATCTGTATTCTTCCCCTCCCCCTCCGGAAGCATTTCTTTATATTATTGCATTTTTAAATAAAAGTTTTAATATGTTTATTTAAATTGATGAAAACAAGACAGACAGCTCCTTAGAAGAAACTGCAAGTCTTAGTGTTACCCTTTTAGGCAGAAGGACTATGAAGTAGCCAGTGACTACGGCTCTGGCTGCCGCTGCTGCAGCATGTCCGGATTCTTATTTCCCAGTAAGATAGCAATAGAGAAGGTATATGAAGGACTGGAGTTGGGGGGCGGTGGTGGTGGTAAGAGACTCTTTTTAGAAGAAAGATGACTCAGTGTGCATAGAAGAGAATCTATTGCTTGTGACATCTGACAGTGCAATTAGAACCCCGGATAAGTACTTAAGGTTTTCACTTGTACCTAAAAGACTGGGGAGGCGTTAAGAAAGGGGGAGGGGAAGGAGAAGGGATGCTCAGTTATGAATTGCACAGTGTGCTGGGGAAGGATGAGGGTAGTACATGTAGAAACTGTGGCTAACCTCCATTCAGAAGTAGCTAATTTCATTTTCTCTTTGCAAATGCAACAAGCAGAGATATTTGTGCTTTCTTCCATAGAGTTAACTTGCAAACAGTGGCAGAAAAGAAATGGTCTGTTTATAGCTGTGCAATGAAAAATGTGTTGTGATATCTTGTGATGTGTTTTTATTTACTGAAAAATAATATTGTCTCTATGATTATGTTGACAGTTGCCGTTTCCAAATAAGAAATGAGATGTAATGCATCCGACAGTCCATGTACGCCTTCTCTTGCAAATTGTGTACCATTCCTCAGTGGGAGCCTTTAAATCCTAAAATCCAGGAAAAGAAAATAAATACATTATCATGGACCTGAGGGATTTTTACCTGTTGGCCGCTCTGATTGCCTGTTTAAGGCTGGATTCTGCTATAGCCCAAGAACTTATTTACACTATAAGAGAGGAGCTGCCTGAAAATGTACCCATAGGAAATATACCAAAGGACTTGAACATTTCTCACATCAATGCTGCCACAGGGACCAGTGCCAGCCTCGTCTACAGACTGGTTTCTAAAGCTGGGGATGCCCCTTTGGTCAAAGTGTCCAGTAGCACTGGGGAAATCTTTACCACCTCTAATAGAATAGACAGAGAAAAACTCTGTGCTGGAGCCTCATATGCTGAAGAGAATGAATGTTTCTTTGAACTTGAAGTGGTGATTCTCCCCAATGATTTCTTTAGACTGATCAAAATAAAAATAATTGTAAAGGATACCAATGACAATGCACCGATGTTCCCATCTCCTGTCATCAATATCTCCATTCCAGAAAACACTTTGATCAACAGCCGATTTCCAATCCCATCAGCCACAGATCCTGACACAGGTGTCAATGGTGTGCAGCACTATGAGTTGTTAAATGGGCAGAGTGTATTTGGGTTGGATATTGTGGAAACTCCAGAGGGAGAGAAGTGGCCCCAATTGATTGTACAGCAAAACTTGGATAGAGAGCAGAAAGATACCTATGTGATGAAAATCAAAGTGGAAGATGGAGGTACCCCTCAGAAATCCAGCACAGCCATACTGCAAGTCACAGTAAGTGATGTTAATGACAACAGGCCAGTGTTTAAAGAGGGTCAGGTGGAGGTTCATATTCCAGAAAATGCCCCCGTAGGTACTTCTGTCATTCAGCTTCATGCAACCGATGCAGATATAGGAAGCAATGCAGAAATCCGATATATTTTTGGTGCCCAAGTTGCTCCTGCAACCAAAAGACTCTTTGCTTTAAATAATACTACAGGGCTGATTACAGTTCAGAGGTCCTTAGACCGAGAGGAGACAGCCATTCACAAAGTGACAGTGCTGGCTAGTGATGGTAGCTCCACTCCTGCCCGGGCCACAGTTACTATTAATGTCACTGATGTAAATGATAACCCTCCTAACATAGACCTCAGGTACATCATAAGTCCCATCAATGGTACGGTGTACTTATCCGAGAAAGATCCTGTCAATACAAAGATTGCCCTAATTACAGTTTCAGATAAGGACACTGACGTGAATGGCAAAGTGATCTGTTTCATTGAAAGAGAGGTCCCATTTCACTTGAAGGCAGTTTACGACAACCAGTATTTGTTAGAGACCTCTTCCTTGTTGGACTATGAGGGCACCAAAGAATTCAGCTTTAAAATTGTTGCCTCTGATTCTGGGAAGCCCAGTTTGAACCAGACTGCCCTGGTAAGAGTTAAGCTGGAGGATGAAAATGACAACCCTCCAATTTTCAGCCAGCCTGTAATTGAGCTGTCAGTTTCTGAAAACAACCGACGGGGGCTATACTTAACAACTATTAGTGCCACAGACGAAGACAGTGGGAAAAATGCAGACATTGTTTATCAGCTTGGACCGAATGCTTCCTTCTTTGATCTGGACCGAAAGACAGGGGTCTTGACGGCCTCCAGAGTTTTTGACCGGGAAGAGCAAGAAAGGTTCATTTTTACTGTAACTGCTAGGGACAATGGGACCCCTCCCCTGCAGAGTCAAGCTGCTGTGATAGTTACTGTGCTGGACGAGAATGATAATAGTCCTAAGTTTACTCATAATCACTTTCAGTTCTTTGTGTCTGAGAACTTACCAAAGTATAGTACGGTTGGGGTGATCACTGTGACAGATGCAGATGCTGGAGAGAATAAAGCTGTGACCCTTTCTATCCTGAACGACAATGAGAATTTTGTCTTGGATCCTTACTCTGGGGTTATAAAGTCAAATGTCTCCTTTGACCGAGAACAGCAGAGCTCCTATACCTTTGATGTCAAGGCCATTGATGGAGGGCAGCCACCCCGTTCCTCTACTGCCAAGGTTACCATCAATGTCATGGATGTCAATGACAATAGCCCTGTTGTCATCTACCCACCTTCTAATACTTCTTTCAAGTTGGTGCCACTTTCAGCCATCCCGGGCTCAGTGGTAGCAGAAGTGTTTGCTGTGGATATTGACACTGGAATGAATGCTGAACTTAAATATACAATAGTCAGTGGGAACAACAAAGGCTTATTCCGTATTGATCCAGTGACAGGCAACATTACTTTGGAAGAAAAACCAGCTCCTACTGATGTGGGGCTGCACCGTTTAGTGGTCAACATAAGTGACCTGGGGTATCCTAAGTCTTTGCATACCCTGGTGCTTGTTTTTTTGTATGTCAATGACACTGCAGGAAATGCTTCTCATATCTATGACTTGATTCGGAGGACTATGGAGACCCCCTTGGACAGGAACATAGGGGACAGTAGTCAACCCTATCAAAATGAAGACTATCTCACGATCATGATTGCCATTGTGGCAGGGGCCATGGTGGTCATAGTGGTGATCTTTGTCACCGTCCTGGTTCGCTGTCGCCATGCATCTAGGTTCAAAGCGGCTCAGAGGAGCAAGCAAGGTGCTGAGTGGATGTCTCCTAATCAGGAGAACAAGCAGAACAAGAAAAAGAAAAGGAAGAAAAGGAAGTCACCTAAGAGTTCCCTTTTGAACTTTGTTACCATCGAGGAGTCCAAACCTGATGATGCAGTCCATGAACCTATCAACGGGACCATAAGCCTGCCAGCAGAGCTGGAGGAGCAAAGTATAGGAAGATTTGACTGGGGCCCAGCACCACCAACAACCTTCAAGCCCAACAGTCCTGACCTCGCCAAGCATTACAAATCTGCCTCTCCACAATCTGCTTTTCATCTCAAACCAGACACTCCAGTATCAGTGAAAAAGCACCACGTGATTCAGGAACTTCCTCTGGACAACACCTTTGTTGGGGGTTGTGACACCCTTTCGAAACGATCTTCCACTAGTTCAGACCACTTCAGTGCCTCAGAGTGCAGCTCCCAAGGAGGTTTCAAGACAAAGGGCCCTTTACACACCAGACAGGTAAACGAGCACTTTTACTGGTCTATAAGTACTGCGTACAAGTGCCCAGTCAACCAGTATTAAAGTGCTAATGTGTCTTTTGTTTCAGTCTAATTTTAGCTTAGTTACATTAAAAAGAGAAAAAAAACTTGACCCCTTTTTTTTTTCTTTAAACAAATTCTTCTGGGGGCTCAGTCAAGAATTTGTAGAACGGCTTTGAAATATCTGAGGCCTGAAAATTATATTTTTAACTTCCCTGGTTCCCCCAAATGTTGAAAGATGAAAGGAGGAAATTGTTCAAAATTGTCCCAAGATAAGTGTTTGCTGAAGAAGAAAGACTGTCCTGAAATGCCAAATTCTGCTTGCAGAGTTCCCAATTTGACTGCTTCAAGATTTTTTTCATGTTACTTTTCAGATCTAAAAAGTCACCTTCAGATTTCAGGTTGTAAGTGATGTTTGAAGGTCTGGCTAGTTTGCAGTGTGCTGAAACTATGGTTGTGAAAGGGGTTAATTTTTTTTTCCTTCACCAAGATAGCAGAATATTAAATGTACATCAGCTGTCAAGCACATGATTGTTGGTAGGATATAACTAAGCCATATAGGAAGTCTTCTTCTGTTTTGATCGCAAATTATTTTCTTGTAATATGGTAAAGTGGGTATTAAATAGTTGGATTTTGCAGATTTTCAACAATGGCCAAAGTACACTAAAAAAAAAAAGTAATGCATTCAATCTATTATAACTGATTTATGCAGGAAAAAACAGCCCATTGTAAATATTTTCTCATCTTAGTAATGCCTAAGTGATCTGTCATAACTCATTTTAAATTGTGAAATGTGCCATATGAAGAGGAATTAAGAGGCTGAGGAACTCATATTTCAACCAAATCCAGCATTAGATTTTCTTAGGTCTAATAATTCCTTGTTAATAAAGATTTAAATGCAGCGCTGTCTAATTTATTTCACTGGTGCTTGTCTATTGCCACTAAATTAGAATGTCAATAATAGCCTGTAGATGGCACTAGGGTACCGTGTCGCGTGTGCTGGCCAGGTGCCAATTCTGCAGTAGATAGAAGATGGGGGAGGGAAGGATCAAGCTGGTACTACAGCCAAAGAAACCTTTTATTTAATGATAGCTGCACTGGAGCGACCAGCATTTAAGTTCTCAGGTTTGCTCCTTAGTGCTTAGCTTATACTGCATCAACTTTGTAGGTTTTTATAATCAAGTTCATATTACTCTTGGTATTGTGCCCTTGTGAATGGTGGTCTGCCTTCATTTGTTAGAAGTATCCAAAATAGACAACTCAGATCAACTCAGTCAGGCAGGACACTAGCAAGCTTGAATGTTAGCACAAAGGGTGTGATGCTTAGCAAATGAAGGTGGTCCTTTTTACCCTTGAGTTAGCCCTAATCTAAGCAGAATGTGACCCACCAAGCAGTTTTTGGCTTTGGAAAGACTTAGAGGTGTTACACCAACAATGAGCCCCTTGAAATAAATTAGATAAATACTGAACATTAGGTATACTGAAGTTTATATAAAACCCAGTTTACCAATATGGTCTATTTTAAAGAATATTTTAAAACTATAAAATCTCAAGAACATAACCATAGGAGGGGCTTAGCTATTAAACTACCAGATAAGTTTGTGTCTAAACAAAAATGTTGACTTAAAACAAACAAATAAAAAACAAACTTCACTGAAGAGAGTACAGGAAGTAGTGTAGTTATGGCAGCCAAGGCTAGGATAGCAAGAAATGTTCTTCCCATATTAAGCTTGCTAGGCCTTTCTGAAAGTGATACTTTTGATATCTGAACTGCTAAAGTTTGGTGAAGCCTACTAATTAAAAAAAAGTTTCCACAAAAAAAAAAAGTTATGAGACTGAACTTTCATTAAATAGTACTTTGTAATGAAATGAAAGAAAAGCTCTTTATTTCGTTACAAATTGTTTATTTCTAATGTGAGACTATGTTTTGGTACAACACCTTCACGATATCCAATGGAACTTTATCACTTTTCATGTAAAATAACAATATGGATTTTTTTTTTTATCCTTAAAGTTATTCGATTTTTACAGTAAGGAATACTATGGTAGATAGATGGTCTGCGAAATCTCATATATATATATATGTATGTGTATATATATGTGTGTGTATATATACACACACATGTGTGTATATACACACATATATGTGTATATATAAATATATACACATATATGTGTATATATAAATATATACACATATATGTGTGTATATATAAATAT